AAGATGTCTTTGAATTCCTTCAACAAGTGGTGCAAGTCTGCACCGAGTTCAGCAAAAGCAGTCGTCCCGACCTTAACGGTCCGGTCGGGACGAGAGTCATCTAGGACGATGTCCATGTGTTCACCAGCCGGCTGGGGACGGAGTTCATCCGGCCTTTGACCGGTCAGTGATTGTTATTGCCTGTCTATCTTCTCGGCCATCATTTGGTTGGCCTTTCTCTTTTTTCCGGCTGTTGTTGCAGCAGGCGCGGCTTCCTTGACTTGGTCAAGGTCAGTAGTTTCTCCACTAGGGCTGACTACGACCACAGTGGGCTTGACATCAGAGAGGTAGCACTCCCTGGCCATCTTCTGGTCTCTCCGTAGGGAACCGACTGTTCCATCATCCCTCTCAAACTTGAGAAGCATAAGAGAAGGGATGATAACAGCTTTGGATTCATTCAGGGTAGGGCGCCCCAAAATCATGTTGTAGGCTGTCAGTTCTTCAACAACTAAGAACCGGACCACCATGTGGCGTCCCTCCCCTTTCTCGCCCAGAAGAATGGGTAAGTCTATTTGTCCTACCGGATGTACCACACCACCCCCCAAATCCCACTAAGGGATGAGAGACCTGGTGCATACTCTCGGGCTTGTACCTGAGCTTGGCCAGGCACTTGTTTCTGATGAGATCAGACAAGCTCCCAGTGTCAATGAGGATCCGGCCAACTCTTTGGTTGGCCACTTTGCATTCGATGACAATAGGGTCATCATGCGGCCTTTTGATTTTTCCCTTGTCCTCCTCAGTAATAACGACTTCGTGGAAGTAGTCCTTGGACGCCTGTCCCTCGTCAACTGAGTTAACATCGAAGCGCCTGACATAGTCTTTATTGCCCCAGATGGTAAAGCCGCCTCCAGCGAAGCCGCCTGCTATTGTATAGATCGAAGTTTCATCCGTATCCGAGCTATTAGCAGAGTGGGGCTTCTTCTTGGACGATTGTCTAGGGCTAGTCTGCAAGGTAACCTTGAACCTCAAGATATAAGACTTGAGGACTCCTTTATCAGCCAGACGGTCCAACAGCCGCTTGAAGCTATAGCATTCGTTGATGTCGTGGTCAATATCCTCATGGTAATGGCAGTATTTATTTTTGTTCCGATTTTTGGCGGAACCTTTCATAGGAGCCGGCTTGTCAATAGAGACCCGGTCCTCAATCTCCATGAGGATGGAGTAGCAATCCTTATTGAATTCGTACTTTGGGGAGTACGTCTTCGCTTCTCTCTTTTTCTTCTGGGATGGAGGTTCAGAGGATTCAGCCACCCAGACTTGTTTTCTTTTCTTCTTTCTTAGCCGGCCTTGATGGCCGACTCTCTTTTTTATCAGACCTCTTTGAGTCCGACTGCTTACTGATGTTGCAAAGCTCGGTCGCCTGTATATAGGCGTCCGCCTCCATCAGTGCCTCTTGGAGGGTAGCCACCCTCTTTCTAACGAGGTCGAACTTGAAGGTTGACCCGTCCTTCATACCTTTGAAAAAGTCTATGTAAGCTACCTCATCAGACAGCCATTGAACCTGAATTTTCATCAGATTGAAGCGCCTGATATATGAGCGCAGCCCCTCCTTCTCTTCCTGTTGTATGGCTCCCAAGTCAAGACTTCTTCTTTGCAGGGATATTCATTGAGAAGTTTGACGCGAACAAGTATGCCAACATCTTGAAGTTATTGATGCATCCGGTTGGCAAGTTGCCGAACCATTGCTGGGCGACACCCTTCAATGTGGCCGGGAAGCATCTACACCAAGTAGCATCATCCAACCCTTGTAGATACATAAGGTTGGTGTATGCCATCAGGTGGTCATCAGGATTGGTGGTACCATCATAAGTACCTACCAACACATTCTTCACCTTGGCCGGCTGTGCGGCCTCAGTTATTTCCTTGGAAAAAGCTAAAGGTTGTTCCCCAGTTTTAGCAGTCGGCGCTGCCAATCCAAAGGCTGGATATTGGGTGCCGCCTGCCCCCCGAAGAGGGTAGGCTGCATATAAGGTGGTCCATACGACATGTATGGTTGTTGAGGCACATATGGGGCCGCTTGGAACATCTGAAGACTAGAATGGGCAGACAGGCCGCATGTCTGGTCTTCTCGGTTTGATTGAGAATACCCCAGTAAGGCATTCTGGAAACTGTCATTGAAGTTTGACGTGGAGGCCGACTCTAACAGTTGCATATTCTTCTTTTGCTGGATTATCATCCGAGCATCAGAATATGTTTTCTTGGAACCATCCGGCTGTATATGCCGGATCGCCTTCCTCTGCCCTGGCTTAGGGAACCGCAGTTCAGCCAGGTTTATCAAAGGCTTCCGTCCCTCCCTTTGTTTAGGGTAAGGAGTGGCCTCTCAGTCTTTGACCGACTTTTTCCTCCCAGAATAAGAGGGCTTCTTGGCCGACTGTTCCTTGGTAGGGAATGTCGTCCGTTTATCAATAAGATCCTTTATCTCCCCTTTGAAACTTGTCATGAGGGTCATGAGCTCGTTTCTAGTGATGGGGGTGGATCCTTCGGCCGCCTGAGGCTGACCTGTCGGCTGGCGGACTGTTTCACTAGGGCTTGCCTGGTCAATGTTCCTTTCCCTCCTTTTGGTGGGACGGATGCGGCGTGTCCTAAGGGACCCGTTAGAGGCCATATGGGTGGCGACTTCATAGTCGTCATCCGTATCTTGGTCTGAGAAGACCTGGACATCGGCCGTAGGCCGTTTCTCATTAAGAGGTGGTACAGGTTCTTGTGAAGTCATCCTTGAAGTACTCTCCCCACAGACGGCGCCAAATGTTTCGGGGTTTTTTGATGTCCTTCGGGAGAGTTACAATTCCAAGAGTGACTTCTGGACGCTTGTACCTGCAAAACAACGGAGACTCCGGTGGGTGGGAGCTCCGCCTCCGACGATCAAGTTAGAATGTGTATGAGGAGTAAAGTGCTGAAAGTAAAGGGTCACTCTCGGATTCCAATAGAGAATCTGCAATGTGTAATTGCTCAGCTCGAGGTGTTAGGTGTCTGACTTTCTCTGATGGAGAATTAATGTGAATTGAATATTTCTGAATAGATGTTCCTCAGAGAAAAACATCTCATTTTTATAGGGTGTTTGAAAAATGTGCCCAATACTAAGTTTCAGTAAGCCTAGGGCTGATTGGGCTTTGCCTGGAACTTTAGGCCGTAGGAGGCCACTTGCCCAGTTAGCAATTTTGCCTGCCACGTGTCGTGACCTGATTGGTCCGCCTTGGACCTCTCACAAAATGACACGTGGCTGAGCTTCATTGGTCCTCGTAGCGGGGAAAAATCCCCTAATCATTTGCCCCTCATAGGGGTGACGTGGCATGCTACGTGGCGCCTGTGACAAGTGTCACGCCATGATTGGCTAACGGGTTTTACCGTTTTTTTTTTTTTACCCTTGAAACGGATTCAAATAACCCTCTCCGTTACTGCTTGTTTGGTAAAGGCCAGAGAGTAACGAATATCGTTACCAGGGTGTAACAGTTCCCCCCAGTTTGATTCCGCTCTTTGAGCCAAGGAAACAAATTCCGTTTCCTGCATTCAACAATGTTAACATTTCTCATTGACTTTCTCTTCCAAAGCACTTACTCACCCAATCTCTCTCTTTTGAATTCGATTTCTCAGCATGCCATTGTTCAAGATCTTGCTTCATTATTCAAGACTCGTCAAAATTGGGTCAAATAAAATTGCTCAACAACAACTCATCATTCTCACATCTCACCCACCAAAAATTTAAAAAAAAAAAGAAAAGAGAAGAAAAAATGAATGTGCTTTCATGATGATCGATGATGAAGATTGATCTGCCTTTGCGATGATCTGATTTGATGTTGATAATTTTGATTTTTGATGGTCTGCTGGTTTCAATCTGGTGTAGTTGTGTTTTTATGATCAATAAAAGAAAAAACGATCTAGTCATCTGATTTTTTGATGATGTGATGATTTTGGTTATTAAATTAGAGTAATTAAATTGGAGTAAGAAAAAAGAGAGAAGAATTTTGAACAAGTTGAAGCAATAAAACAGCTTGTGAATAGGGGTGTACAAAAACTGGACCGGACCTGAAACCGGACCTGAACCGACCTGATCCGGACCGGACCTGACCCGGACCTGTTGATTCAGGTCCGGTCCCGGTCCTTAAAAATCAAGGTTCCCGGTTCCGGTCCGGACCCGGTCTAAACCCGGGGTTTTCAAGTCCGGACCTGAAACCCGGAAAAATTGTTTTTTTTTTAAAAAAAAAAAAAAAAAAAAAATTAAAATAATGCTGCTGCTTCACCTGCTTGACAGCTTGAGGCCTTGAGTGACGCTTGAATTCTCTTTCATTTCATTCTAACCCTAACAAACAGGCTGTCTCCCCCTCTCCCTCACGCAGACACGCAGTCACGCAAGTCTCAGCCGAGTCAGCCCAACGCGGCAACGCCCACCGCCGACACCTCCTGCCTTCCTCACTCTCTCAGGCGAAGCCCAGGCGCCCACCGACCACCGCATGAGACAGCTACTGCGCGATTTTCCATTTCTCCGGTAAGTTATTTTTTTTTTAATGTAAATCTAAATTATCTAATTATGTTTGGGTATTTTGTATTCGAAATAATGAATTAAGTGTTAGAATTTATATGTTTATTCATGTTTCAATTGCTTATAATGATTATTTGATGTTTGCATGTTGAATTTCTTTTTTTTACTTCAATGTTTTCGAATTTATGTTTTTTCTTTTTTGGTTTATTTTCGAATTTCTTTCGAATTTATGTTTTTTTTTCTGGTTTTTTTTAGTTTAAAGTTTAGGGTTTTAGGGTTTAATGTTTAGAATTGATAACAAGTATGGTTTATCTTCGAATTTATTTATTTTTATGTTTTGGTAATGGGATTGTAGCAGAGGACAATTAGTTTTTCATCATGATTGCATTGTTTATTTTTGTCAAGTACCTGAATTTCTTAGACTCCTTTTGGTTGGACTTTGAAATTAGAGAAAATGCAATTATTTTGATTTCAAAATTAGAAATTGAGAGAAAGGTAGAAATTAGCTTGGTTGATATATGATAAGTTGGAATGTGCCTCTGAAATTGACATAAACTTCAGCAAGTAACGTGTAACACAAAAGAGAAAAATAAAAAGGAAGAGAACAAACAATGAGATTATGAGAGCAATGAAATTTTCTGACTGCGACTAGCTAGAATTACCATTGGAACTGCTGGATAGAGTCTGAGAGTTTCTGTCAATGCAGCATGTAAATACTGCATTCTTTCAAGTGATTCTTCTGTCAAACTAGCAGCAAGTTCTGAAAATTTTCCAACTCCTTCCATTTTCGTAATTTTCCTTACTTCTTCAGCAACCTTTTCCTGTATATTCTGGTGTTTACAAAGCATGTAAACAAACCATGAAAGTGTAACTGCTGTTGTGTCTTTACCCGCAATTACAAAGCTCAAGATTATATCTCTCAGATACTTCAAATCAGTGTCGCTCTGCTCCAGGAACCTTGCCAAGATATCATCCTTTTTCATCTGCATTTCCTACAAATTCACACAGAAAGAATGCATTAATCTCCTCAGTAAACCGATATGATTACAGACTTCTAAGTTATGATTCACTTACTGAGACATTGCTTTGTGAACTTTTCATTAGTTCCACTTTGTTACTGATTAATTTGTAAACAAAATCATCAACAGTTTTGACACTTCTCTTAAGTTTAGCCTCTGCGCCAATGTTGAGAAATTTGAAAGTATTTCTAATGTGTATTGATATTTCTAATGTGTATATATGGACACTTTTTAAGCTAACTTATACTTTAAAATTTGTGTTTATTCCTGCTAGGCTGCTAAAAGTATGGACTCAGATTATTAAGATTAAATAAGTTGGCTAACCTGTGTGTAGTTCAGGGGTTCTTATTTTTGTTTTTATTCTTGCAGGGAGTGAAGGAAGTCAAGGAACCACGGATTCTTATTCTTGCAATGTAAGTTGCTCTTAAATTTTTTTTATAAAATGGTATGTGTATATAATTGTTACTTTAAAATTACTTATATTGTATATAATTATATTGTAGATGGAGAGCTCTCAATCCAAACGGTCTGCTTCTTTTTCTGAACAAACGTCACAGCCACTTTCTGAAAAGGATATGGAAGAATTGCAATCTACTTTGCCTCCTGATAAGAAGCTAAAAGCGGGGCGGGAATATATATGGAACAGAAAAAGTAAGAGGAAAGCTGAGTATTGGAAATATTACTTAGAGTACGTCGAGAATGGAAAACTACGAGCTGAATGTAAGTTCTGTCCTAAAACTTTTGCTGCTGATGGTAATCTTAATGGTTCAAAAAATGTTAAAAACCATGCAGAATCATGTCTCGGTAATCCTATTAATATAGAAAAAGAAAAGGGCAAAGAAAAGCAAACTAAATTGTATTTTGATCAAGAACATGAGAGTAGTGAATTAAAGTGTGGGAGTAGGATTATTAACTTGAATGATGTTAGAGAGGCATTGATTCACATGATTATTGTTGATGAGTTACCATTTAAGCATGTGGAAAAATCCGGTTTTAGGCACTTTGTGCAAGTTGCATGTCCACAATTTCACATTCCATCTCGTGTTACCATTGCTCGTGATTGTTTAAAGTTGTATTATAGTGAAAAAGAGAAATTGAGAGAAATGTTTAAGACATGTCAAAGAATTTCTGTGACCACTGATACTTGGACTTCAATACAAAGAATTAATTATATGTGTCTTACAGCTCATTTCATTGATAATGACTGGAAATTGAATAAAAAGATCATAAATTTTTGTCCAATTTCTAGTCATAAAGGAGAGGCTATTGGAAAAGCAGTTGAGGCATGTTTAGAGTATTGGGGTATTGATGATAAACTTTTTACTGTCACTGTTGATAATGCTTCTTCAAATGATGTTGCTTGTGCACACTTGAGTAGAATGGTTAGAAGAACAGGATGTATAAATGATGGAAAAAATCTCCATGTTAGATGCATTGCTCATATCATTAATTTAATTGTGTGGGATGGTATTAGAGAACATGGTGTGTGCATTGATAGAGTTAGAAATGCTGTGAAATATGTTAAGAATTCCCCTGCAAGAATACTTAGATTCAAAGATCTTGTGCAAAAAGCAAACATAGATTCAAAATCTTCTTTATCCTTTGATGTCCCCACTCGTTGGAACTCCACATACATAATGTTGGAAACGGCTTTGAAGTTTCGACGTGTTTTTAGTGGGTTATCTCTTCCTGATGGAGAGGATTTGAATGACAATGAAAGGCCTCCCGAACCCGAAGATTGGGAAAAAGTGGAGAGGTTGGTTTTGTTTCTAGGGGGGTTTTATCTGTTAACTAAACGAATTTCTGGTTCCCATTATGTGACAGCTAATAAAGGTTTAGGAGAAATTGCTTCTATGTATGATATGTTGAATAATTGGGAACAAAGTGAGGACTTGAATTTTCAAGCCATGGCCATTGCAATGAAAAAAAAGTTTGATAAGTATTGGGGGGATGTGGATAAGATGAATAAGTTCATTTATGTTGCTCTTCTTCTCGACCCTCACTCTAAGATGGTCATTGTTGAATTGACACTAACGGATATGCATGGACCGGAAAAGGGTACAAAACTTGCTAATGATGTGAAGGAGTTCGCTTACTCTTTATTTGAGGAATATAGAAAAATGTATGCTACTTCTAATATTCCAGATTGTGGAGATAATATGTCAATGGATATTGATAATAGTAAAGGAGTGGGTTCCGATTATGTGAGGAAACTAAAAGAAAGAGCAAAACGATTGAAGGGGACAAGTGGGTATGCGATAAGTGAGTTGGATAGGTACTTAAATGATCAATTAGGGCCGGAGGAGGAAGAACAAGATGCATTGACATGGTGGGGTAAGAATGGTCAGCGTTATGTGATTCTTAATCGCATGGCACGTGACATACTAGCCATCCCATTGTCGACCGTTGCATCGGAATCTGCTTTTAGTACGGGAGGTCGTACTCTAGATCCATTTCGGAGTTCTTTAACTCCTAAGGTAATGCATCGTTATCTTTTTATTTTATAAAATCAAGTTTGTTTATATCTTAATATGACTTTGTTTATACATATTTGTGTAATATTTTTGTATTGAAGATGGTTCAAGCGTTACTTTGCACACAAGATTGGCTTAGAGCTAAGGAAGTGCCAATTGTTGATGTGGAAGAAAATTTGAAAGAGTTAGAGGAAATAGAGAAAGGTAGTAATAATTTTATGTATTTGAAATTTTGTTACACCAAATTTATTATTTCATTGTTATCAATCATTAATATATTCTATATTGTATTTTATTTAGAGGTGCAACGTGGTGAATCTAACGATGTAGACGATGAAGTTGTTTTCGTGGACTCATTAGTGTGAATCACGCGATCAAAGGGAAAACAACTCGTTGGAGAATTTATGTATTCCTAGTACTTGAGAGTTGAGAGTTGAGACTTAAGAGAATTTATGTAATTTTATGAGTTTTCGTGGACTTATTTGTATTTTCGGTGGACTCATTTGTATTTTTGGTGTTTGAGAATCGGGACTTTATAGACTTTATGTAGTTTTGTAATTGATAATTTTGGTTTGTATGTAATTATTAAATTATGCAACAGGTCTAAAAATCACAAAACAGGTCCATATGCAGGTCCATATGCAGGTCCAACAGGTTTTGTATTAAAAAAAAAAACGAAAAAGACACAAAACAGGTCCATTCAGGTCCAAACCCGGACCGGACCTGATTTTTCAGGTCTGGCCCGGAACCGGACCTGTTAATTCAGGTCCGGTCCCCGGTCCTCATAATTACCCAATTCAGGTCCCCGGTCCAAACAGGTCCGGTCCAGGTCCGGTCCGGTTTTGGACCGGTGTACACCCCTACTTGTGAATTGTGATAAATGTCGCCTACCAATATTTTAAATTTTGTTTTCCCTTTATTTTTAAAAAAAAAAAAATTGTTTTCCTTTTTTTATGCCAAACAAAAGGAAACAGATTGGTTGTTAATTGTTTACGCTTCCTTAGTAATACCAAACAACTAGTAAGGGTAACACTATATATTACCCTTTCCCCTCCTAATTTGTTTCCATTCCGTTACCTTTACTAAGTTGATATCAAACGCCCCCTAACTATACAAACAGTTAAACATAATTATCAAACGAAAGAAGAAAACTAAAAAAGTACATAAACTAGCAACCAGGGGCATTGCCCGAGACACATACTAGTTTTGGATTGAATAATGGCACTAGAATTAAAGTAGTGCAACCTTCGTTCCCAAACAGCACATGTAATATCCCACATTAGTAACAAAAGATAGAGTTAAACATATTTATATATCTAATGGACTACTCATCCCATTGTTATATGGTAAGGGTTGCACTAATACGGACAAAGTAATATGCTTTCTCTATTTCCCTGTCATCGCATATTCCTTTAGTTTAAGAATCTTGCTAGCGAACACTCCAATCATATATGCTAAAATCACGCGTTAAACGCTATAATTACAATTCATTTCAATTTAATATATCTACTTTTATTTATTTTACTCTGTACATAATATCCGGAATGTTTGTTAGCTTTTGCTTTTTTTTTTCTTTTTTTTATTATTATTATCTATTCTGTATTCTGCATGTGTACCAAGTATACGTTGCAAGTTTTCATGAACGTGACCTGGTCCCACTTATTTTATCCTCCCTTCCGATGTTTTGGGTCCTGGAGTGGGCAGTGGCAATGCAAGAAGATGTGCAGTACTTACGAGTAGTTTAGATCTTAAGGCCAGATTGCAAAAACTAATTAGTGAATTATGACGGTCCCTAAAAGAACCATCAAGCTAGCTTTAACAGGACACTTCTCGCTTGTGTGGTCCATGGTAAGAGGAGGACCTAATATAGTTTTCCATTATATTACAGAGATGGTATTATGAAATTATTGGACGAGGACATAAAAAATTTAGGGATGATTAGTCCCTCTATCTCCCCAACAAGTGGTTGGGGGTTCGATTTTCATTCCTCTATTCCTGTGATAGGGTTGGAAGATTTAGTCTTACAAAATGAACCAAGTCTAGCTTAGTTTTTTATCAAAAAAATGTGTACAAGCCTTATTGATAAAATTTATTCTTGCACTAAACTAATCAAATATTGATAAGATCAAATCATATTTGAGGTGAATCGAACATAGCCTAAATATAAAATAAATAAAAAATTCAAGTGCATGTAGGTGGTCATTGATAAAGAGCCCAACTAAATGGTCTAAATATCCTAAGTAGTGAGTTGTACTGTATTAGGAAATTATTGAACAACTTTTTGAAACACATAATTGGGTACAAAATGGATGCTGTCAACCTTCAAGCTAAGCCTAGAAAAGCTCAAAATATCAATACATCACCATTCTTGTAGATTATTTGCTTTTTTCCCCTACTTTCTTTCAAACAAATTAAATTGACAACTAGAAAATAATATTTTATGCTCATTTTAGGAGCTCTAAACGTTAGAGTTGTCTAATGGAGTATCTAACTAGCTAACTTTGCAACTAAATTATTTAATAGTCGAGAATGATTGGAAGAAAATACAAAGACGCATTTTTGAATGGATTAATACACTTTTATAATCCCAACTTTGGCCGATTTATTTTGAATAATCCCAATTTTTTATTATTCTGCAATAATCTCAACTTTCACCAACGTTTTCTTTTTTCAATCCAGTTTACTGGTTACCTGAAGA